CCGGGAGCGATGCCCGGGGCGATGCAGCCGGGGGTGGGGGCTGGTGGCCGAGTGAAGTCAGTTCAGTGATCAGGGATCAGTGATGGCACAGTCAGGTTGTGGTGCTGAGTTCAGCTTGCATGAAAATACATTTTAATTAATAGTTAATTCGTGGTGTTGATTTTAATAATCTGAGTATCTTGTATTATTTGCAGTATTTTGCCAGATGCCTGCAGTAGGCACTTCTCAGTGAACACGATAATTATTTGTAAATAATTGAGGATTTTTTTCTGTACTCGGGTGACAAGACAGTTTTAAACTCTTCTGATAAAGAGAAGACATTGCACTTACCCTAACAGCACACATTTTTCATGTGTTCTCCTTTAAAAATAGTATGAAAATGTCTGTGAAAGCCTTATTTTACCTTCTTCACTGTAGCAAGATGTAGGTGATGCCTCACTTTTATCGCTAAATATAGTTTAAATGCCAGAATTTCTCTGAAGAAAAGGTATGTAAGTGAGAGGATGGGCAAGTTCTAAAACCAGCTTCTGAAAATCCCCAGTCATTCAGTGAATTGTCTCCATCTTACCTGTTAACTCATATATTCAGTGAGATCCTTTGAGTATGGACTCGGAATGAACAATTGCATGGCCATTAACCATGCTGAAATGCTCCAGAACAGATGTAATGCCTTTTCTTCTAGGTCATATTTCCATATCGTATTTCAGTCGCCTGACTCTAACCAAATGCCCATTGTATTTTACTCTACTGGCTGCTAAATTCTGTGAATTTAGTGAAGTTATGACTTCATTATTTTTGTCCCACATACATACAGATGGCAGAGGTGCCTTGTTATGTACAAACAGAACATTGCCCACAAATTAGGGTTTGTGTCCTGGCTGCTGTGCACCATGCTGCTGGGACTAACACCCAGCAGTCAGTGAGACTTACTTATCAACATTTTGTAATAAAATGGGATATATAGAAACCACAAAAGAATAAAAAAATCAAAAGCAGAGTGCATCTCTGTGTGTTTGGTTTACATCATGATGGTGCCATACAGATGAGGACTGGCTCTCAATTTTGTTAATACCCATTTCACTGAGCTGCTGTTACAGAGGATTTCTGAAATAGCAAAGTCCATAATGGACAACTGTATTTTACAACTAAGAAGAGGCAATTGGGGAAGGAATTTCTGTGGATTGCTTGGATAGAAATGACTTTCAGGATGGTTTGTCCTCTTCAAGAGTACAACTGTGATAGTGTCAGCCAGTCCAGAAAGAAAGCAACGGGCAAATCTTGGGGGCAGTGACCTGTCCAGCTTTCCAAGGGGTGTCTAAGCTACAGTGGATCCATCATTCTGTCTCAACTGTGTTGGAAATGCACAGCCAGAAGTCATATTTAGTAAAAGGTTGTTATTTCATTTAAAAAAAAAAAAGGAAAAGAAAGAGTAAGTAGTAGGTGGCTTATTTAACAGATACTGGGGAGAAACCCTGGAAAAGGTTAAGAACACTTTACAAACCAGAGCAGTTACATCACAAAACTGAAGAGTGCTATGAACAAATTGCTTCTGATCATCAGAAGGTATTGCTGCTACCCTTGATTCAGATCAAGGTCTAAGTCCTGAAATTGTTTGTTACTCTGAGCACATGAAGAGGCCCCACAGGAACTATTCACATGTGAAAAGAGCTAGGACCATTGCCAAAGTTTTGCATACTGTGAAGGTCAAGCTTGCTTCCTTTCTAAACCTTGCTCTTAACAGACAAACTCTCAGAACTATGGTTTCCATAGAGCGCCTTCAGCTCATTCCTCAGGATGCCGTAAGCACCGTGGCTGATTAAGAGCAATTTGTGTCCTAGCAGGTCCCTGAGACTTCTGGGCCGGTTGCCTTGCAGGGAGCTGCTGCCTTGCAGAGCAGGGGCTGCCCCTGCCTTCCCCTGATTGCAATTATTGTGCTTCTTCCCACAGATGCCAGCTTTTTTTATTAACTTCTCAGAATGTAAGAGTCTCATGGATATTATACAACTCCTGGCTTTACAGTCATGGAAAAACCTGTTAATAAAAATGCACTGCCTGTAGGACGAATTCTCAGCATTTTTGCAAAGGTCACGTAAAATATATTGCTTGAGTAGCCTTACTTTGGTCGCCAGATAAGTCATTGAGAGGCCACATGATGACAGCTGCAAAGAAAGATTGTAATTCACTTTTATATCTCTATGCAAGAAAATAAGAGACTCAAGCTTTCCCTTCGGTGCTAGGGATGGGGGCTGTGTGGAGACTGGTGCAGGGAACAAAAAGGAGCTGCTTTCACCAGCCTGACAGATAAGGTTGGAGGTCTTTCTGTGCTGAAGGCCTCACAGAGTTCTGCTTTGTTTCTTCTTTGCTGTCAGAACAGCAGAAAAACTCAGAGAGCAAATTGCAACCATATCATACCACAGCTTTTGCTAGGATTTTGCCTCAGTCCCAAATATGACTTTTATTCTCCATATACTTAAATGAACAACAGTTTCTTTCTCTCCTTATTTCCTCATTCCATTTAGTGGAAATGTAAAATAAATGCCTCTTTGGTTTTTGAGCACTAGCTCATATTTTGCTTCTGCTTCTCAGTAATGGAAATTCCCAAGTTTTACCTTTTCTGGGAGAAGTGTTTAAGTCTGTTGCACCATGCTCCATCAATGGCAGTTGGTCCTGTATTTGGATTTGCTAATAAACACAAACAGTGGATCTGGGTCTGTCAAGTCCAACCCTTTGCAGTACTCTCTAATTACAATGGCTGATCTTTTTTCTAAATTATTTGTGGAAATACTCTTTTTTTTTGGCCAAGAAACTGGCAAAACATCAGGTCAAATCACTTTATGTCATATACAACAATAACTAGAAATGACAGAAGTATGAAAAAAGAAACCCTACAGCCACAAATCGAGATGAACAATTGTTACATGTCTATGTGCACCCCACTCCTTCCATTCCAGGACTGGAGACATTATACACCTATTGCTGAGAGGGAGGAAGTTTAGACTGCATTATTTTTAGAAGGGTCTCAATTTCTAAATACACAGATTTTTGAGGGAGAGCCAGGCACCAGTGGTGGTTATCATCTCACAGAGGTGTTGCCAGAGCCATTAAAACACACAGCTCTGGAAGTCCCATACTTAACGGCGGGAGGTAGAACAAACTAATTTTATTATCAACTCAGCTGTCAAGTGACAATGTTTTTTAAATGCCATGAATTATGTATAAAACACATTAATTTTTATGCTCTGCTTTGAGAGTTGCTGCACGCACACACAAAGGGCAGGGCTTTGGCAGGGGCTGTGCCAGGCAGGACAGGGGGAACTCGTGGGCCCAGCTCCCTGCTGCAGCCTGCAGCAATGATATCCATGACAATACAGGTGGCAGCTTAAAATGACTCAAATAAGATCAAAATCAGACCGAGTCTTCCAGCTAAGAATTAATGAAATACCTGTCCTTGATAACAGCAAACTGAGTAATAGGAATCTGCAGAAACTGTTCATTTAAATACATTTTGTAAACGTAACAAGTTGCACTGTGCTGTTCTTTGCATCTTTAAGAGTGTCTGGGGATTTATGTCTTGCAAAATAGAAACAAACTAAGAAAGCTGAAATATATTGTGTCTTTAGCTCTACTTTACAGCACAGCTTGTGTTTAAGAAGCAGTCTAGACATGCAAAAATGCTAGAATAAACAATATTTTTTTCATTATTTTAAATTAGCTTCTAGTGGAAAGCTATAAATTTCAGAATGATGCACACTAACAGGATTGCATATCTATTCAAATATTCCAAACAAAAGATACTAAAAGGCTATTCTGTTACCTGCCACAATAAAAATAAATTTCCTTCCAACTTAATGCAATTACAAGTGATTTCCTGAAAAAGAAAAAAACAAACCTTCAGGATATTTTGCAGGATATTTCACTTACTAGCAAGAAAAGTCACATTCTTTCTTTTTTTTTCCTCCCCCTCCTTACTTTTGTGACATGTTTAACCTATTTTAACATATAAATATTATTAAATACTATTTAATATTCATTATAGGGATCCAAATATTGGTTGGTCTTAAATAAATATGTTTTTATTCATTCTCCTTTCAGCTTGAATTGTGTGTGCAATTAAAGAATAATCAACTAGAGTCATGATTGAGATTCTGAATTTATGACCACCAGGGTAGAAAGAGCTGCTTCTTCTGGAGAAATGACAGAAGTGACCTTGCCAAGATACTGAATTTTTCTCCTTGTGACTGTGCAGGGCAATAACAAAGCAGGTGGATACCTATGCTGACCATACCTGTAGCTGGAGAACAACAGAGGTGCAGTTAATCAGGTATTAATCCGGATGTTGGAAGACCCATCTTTCTTTTCTACCAGGCTTCTCTCTTCTCTCTTCTCTTTTGGCAAGTTTTTTAATTCCCATGCCTGTCAGGTTCTTATTTAATGTGAAAATTAATACGTCAGTAATAGAAATATTTTAAATATTGCTCAAATTATGTTTGAATAAAAACATGTGCAGATACTGTTTGATATAGCTCAAAACTTTCATTCAAAAATGGAATTGATTTTATGAGTATGTTGCATGCCTAGATCTACTTGGTATTCTCTTGCCGAGAGAGCAAAGACCTGTTGGAATAAAGTGATTTTAAATCACTACCAGACCTGGATTTCTTAACATATTGAGTATATTGTGTTCTGCAAAAGGGAAGAACAGGATATGTTTTAGGATGTTTTAGGATCCTTTTTGATATCCCCTTAATACCAATGGTATTGGTGGCCCATTAATATCAAAGAGAGATCAGTCTGATGCATGATTTGCAGACGTTTATGCTCCCTGGCTTTCCATGCTCTGTAATCTGAATACCAAAACTGCTCAGCAAAGAAACTGAGGAACTCATGTCCATAATCTCACAATTCTTTGACCCTGACTTTGAAGAATTGACTCCTTCATGGGCTAGAGAATGGAAGAATTGCTTTGCAAAACAGAGTTTCTGAGACAGAGCACTTACGTGGACCCAAACAAAAACTTTATTCATTCAGTGCAAGTACAAGACAGGACTTGCTGAACAAACATCTGCCACAGGGGCAAAGTAATAGCAGAGAATGGGCATGGATGCTTCTAGCTATGTGCTGTTGCCAAGGGCTTAGTAATTCCCATTCCAGGGATTGCTGTATCTCAGCAGTGAGCGAAGTTGTTCATTTAAAAATGCTTGGGATTGTTTTGAACGGAAGAGTTATGCAGAAATGCGTGCCACCGGGACGCGGATTCCTTTCCTTCAACTGAGATAACAAAATGTTCAGTATTAAGGTTTTCACAGGATTATGGAGCATTCCAGACCTTCCTTCCACAACAGGGGCATGGAATGGTTTGTGGACAAGAGCACCGAGGTAGCAATACTGATCGTCATGTTCGGGGTTTGGGTTGACATCTTAGGGCATTATGAGTTCAACTTTGGCTATTATGTGTGGACTCTTAAGTCTATTTCCTGAGAAAAATTGTTTTGCCAATCAAAGTCTAGAATTGCGTGCAGGTGTTTTTTTCATCCAAATTTCACCTATTGTTAATGCTCATGACCGTGGTTCATCAGGGTTCTCAACGAAACGGAAGAAGGCTCCTCGCACCAGAAGATGCTTTAGCTATTTCTGAAACCGGTGTTTGTTCTACAGTATCTTACCCCAGTGCTCACCAAAGCTGTTTAATGCGTTGATAATCCCGCAGGCGCTATAAAACCTTTATTTTGGAGGCGCAGCGTTTCTCCCGTGAGGAGCCGGGGCCTGCTCCCGGCGCCGGCTGCATTTCCCTCAGCGGCGCCGCTAGAGGGCGCCCCAGGCAGCGCTACTCCCTCACGGCCTCCAGCAGCTTCGCAACTCAAAAAGTACCAAAAAAAGGTTCTTTGTAACGTTGAACAGGGAAAAAAAACACAAACCACGCGGTATTTTTCATCGCTACAACTTAATTTCGCTGCCTAGTTACTGATTATTTGGGAGGCTGCTTTAACCTTGCAAGCTGCCTGACGCAAGTCGTGATCTCGCGTAACAGCCTCAACGAAGTGCCCAGGGAAATGTCCCTCAGAAGGATTCAAATTAAGATATGTCTCAATTAGTGTCAAAAAAGCAAAAAGGCAATTCTGGTTATATACTCACAGGAATTTTAGAGCAAACAGCAAGAAAAAAAGAGTAAAAAACAGCTTGAAATACGTTGATCAGTCGGTTTTGTCAAGACTTAACGCACCTGTGTCTAATTCAGCTTAGCCTAGGTCTCCTTTACTTTTGGGTTTAAAATTTAGATTTCAGTAGAAGATAATTCGTTTTATTCATGTTTTATATAGAGTTTTTCTTGTTGCTAGAGAAAGAAAATCCCTGTTGGAGAAAAAGAAAAAAATATAATAAATGCTGTCCTAAACCATTTCTATGTTGAAATCAAGTTGTTAGCTCACATAATTTCTCAGACTGAAGAATTTGAAGGGAAAACCAAAACAGATTAAATATTGTTATTATGTTTACTCCTAATTATATTGAAATGCAATAAAATAATACACAGAACTGGACTGTGACAGTTTGCAGATAATGCATTTGATGTATAGTAAGACAATTGACAACAAAATATTGTGTTGCTTTTATTTGCAACGTGTGGTCATTATTTTTTGTAGCTAGTAGCTATGAATATAGCCTAGAGGTCTCAAATTTCCATTTATCCAGTGAAATAAGTGTGTACTCCATTCCACAGGGTCATAATAAATATAATTTAAAGAAGCAATCAACTTTGTACTTGTGGTACTTAGTGGTGAGGCAGAGCTAGCTTCAAAAGTTGGTTACTTATGCCTATTAGTTGAAAAGAATATGAGAACAAAAATATACAGGTGACATTTTCTTAAGTGTCTTAGATATTAAGTTTAAAAATAGATATAATTGGTTGCACTACTATGGCATTATGGCTTTGCTCATGGTAATAAAAGCTGTAGTTGACCTGGAGCAAGGAGGATTTATGTAAGTGAGATTTCACCCTCCTGAACTCTTATAACTGTTTTTAAACTAATATTAATCAATTACTATTATGTTTTGACATTTTAACTCTATCAGTATAAATTGCAAAACTTGGGCACAAAAGCACCCTAAATTTCATTAACTTCCTCTGAAACGGAACTAAAAAATGAAAACACAGCTACAGAGGGCCAGGATAAATCATCACTGGTGTTCAAAATTGTTTGGCAAAGAAATTAGAAATCAAGAGACAGGCAAAAAAGTTTCAATCCCATACATAGTCCAAGCCCAATCAATCTTTATGAATTTAACGCATACAATCCTAGAGAACATACTTCTGCAAACATTTTGCATTACATGCTTCTAGTTTGTTGGGTTTTTTTTGCTAATATTCTTGCTTGTGTTCTCTGGAAGCATTTTAAAATCATTGAGGAACAAATGAGTTTTGAAGACCACACCTTTCAGGGTATAATCACAAGTTAGGTCATTAACATTTTTGAAAATATTTCCATTTGTCTACAGCATGTAAACTCATGAACCAAAATAACCCTTTGTGTTATACCGTAAAGTTTGATTAATCTAAGTACACCAGAATATTTATAACTTTATTTGTGTTTATGTATTGTATTAGTTTTATATTATTGAAGGAACATAATTTGATCCACTAGTATGAAATGCTATATATAAAATAATATTTTGGGGTTTAACTTGATAGGTAGAATAATTTTATTGTCTGATAAGGCAGAAGCCAGGCTCTGTGTCCAGACCAAGAAGGAATCTTGGGCACAACCCTGAAAAATTGCCTGTACTCCAGTTCCAAAATTAATCTGCATGAATAAAATGTTAAAATAATCTGCAGATATTTATCCTCATCTTCTTTGTTTTCATTATTATTATCAAGAACATCAGATAAAGAACTCAGAGTTAGTGTTAGGGGTTAGGGTGCCTGTCTCCTCCAGGTAGCTGAGATCTTTATTACTGTATTTGTTCTGAGCATCATTATTTCAGTTACTGAACTTTTGCTATCTTAAACACATTTTCTGGATTCTTTGTCAAGAATAATTTTTTTTATGTTGGTGTTCTTTACATTAATTTTGTAGAGAAGAGAGCTACTGAACAAAAGTCACTGCCATGGTTTTGATAAGTTCTCTTTGTGTGCCTCAAATAAATGAAAAGGCAGGGTAAGGCCAGCTAGAAAAAAGCTGCTCTCCCTTCACAGCATTTCCACACAGTGACCGGAATTGCTGGAAATATAAAGAGAGGAGTCAGAGTCACTCACAAGTTATTGAAGCTTAACAAGTTAATCCATCATCTGACCCGAGCAGGTGGCCGAGTCAGTGCCCTCTGCCTGTGGCAAGGGCCTGGTGACTCCATCACCTTAAACTCAGCAACACTGTCCTGTCCTGTGTCCCCGGGGCTGGAAACGTGGGGAGGAGCTGGTGCTGTCTCCATGCATTGCTCTTGTAGTCACTTGTAGCCTGAACCCCTGCCTATAGAGACACATTTCTGTCATAAAATTCCCTGTGCAGACAAGACCAGCTTTTGGCTTTATCATTATTTCCATCTTTAGTGTAGATCCAATTACACAGGTATAAAATGTTTCTACTGGCATACCCTGGCATCAGTACAACAGCAGTTAAAGAGATAACTCTAGGACTGGGAGAGATGTGTGAATAACAACAGCTGATCAACAGCCATGCTGATAAAATTTAAATGAGATCAAGCCTAAATCTTATCCTACACTGATAATAGGAGTGTCTGTTATGTGTCAGACTTACTGGGGCTAAGAGGAGAGTAAGGCCAGAAGCTGATCTCGGTAAAACCTCCCTCAGGTTCTCAGGAGTTATCCTTTAATACAAGCCAGAGCTATCCAGGTTTCCAGCTACACTGTGGGCAGTTGTGTCCTAATGAAAATCCACACAGGCATGGCAGCAGTAAATGCCAGATTGATGATTACCACCTGAGCATATACATTATGGCACTGTCTAACTTTAACTACACATTGCCTTGTTTTACAATTCCCACAGTGCTCTGCACTGTTTCAGTATGTAAAACAGAGAAATAGACTGTAGATCTCTTTAGAGAATATTGTTTTCTCCTGACCACAGCCATGGGTCACTATATAAAAAGGCAAAAGCAATTTACTGTGATCTTTCTCCACTTCAGCTTCTAATCATTTGCTTGTACCACGTTGTAAATGTAAAGCAGAGTCTGTGGTCTATGCTAGACCTGAAATAAAAATGTTTCAGGCTGCTCTGTGAAGGAAAAAATGCTCAACCTGCAATCTGTACTGCCATGCAGTTCAGGGCTTTTTCCAGCCATAGTTAAACAAAATGGTTTGTCAGAACTGAAAATAAAGTATGTGTTGCTGTTGATATGTCTGCCAAATTTAAAACATGATATAAACCAAAGTCGACAGCATAAGCCACTCAAACAAGGCCTCAGGGATTCCAAAATGTGCCTTAATATTTATTTTTCATACTTGATTGCAGGTTATGCACAGGTAAGTGTAGTGCTGCCCTGAGGGTTTTAAGTGTAACGTAGTCAACCATGATAATACCTTCAGTATCTCAGAAGACAGTTCTCACAATGACTAACAGGAAATGAAAGCAAAGCTGAGTGTTTTTTCAGACTAGTTTTCAGTTTCTTCTAGAGTTATTTGGTAGATTTATAGAACATTTTCAGAATTTGCCTATTAATAAGACAAAACCAAGTATTACCCCATTTGTGACAGTGTGTTCCAGCACTCAAAATCCCCCTAACATTAACTTGCTTTCACAACCCTATAATGCATGAGGAATTGCTGTCTTCCTGTCTATCCACTACTTCCTCCAGTAATTTGGACTGATATTTACCAGTCATTTCCTCAAAAATGAATCACTAACCACTGACACATACATATATGAGTGACAAAAACAAATGAGCCTGAATTAGTCTTGTTCAGGTGCTCCCATTTGTTTTAACTTATCACTTGTTGGCAGAACATGTAGGAACTAGCCATACAAATATCGTGTCCTCACAGACAGTTATCTTAGCCTTAGTAATTTTAAATATTGGATTGGAAGATGCTTATTTCTCACATGTGGAGAACGAGAGCTGTGCCTCAGAGAAAAACTTCAAATCAGAACCACCAGCTCTAGTTGCTTCCTCTTGTTCTTCTACAGAGCTACATTTGTCTTAGCAGGGAGCAAATTTCAAGGAGCTTCATGTTGATAAAGTAGCAAGGACACAGAAAAAAGGTACTACTAGAGTCAGTTTTATCTCTGACAAAAAAAAGGTGAAGGGCAAAGTTTCTCATTGGAGTGTTGCACAGTCTGTTGCTGGAAGTTATACTTGAATGAGATCAACAAAAATCAGCATGTGAGTAATGAATCACAAAACATAATGTGGAATCTTTAATATTTGTTTCTCTTTGAGGCTTACTTTCCCTTGCTTTGGCATTTATAGCAAATAAATCTCCCTGGAAATGCATAGTTTGAGAAGTGGGAAGCTTACATGGGAAAGAAGTAGTGGAGTCCTCGTGGCCTTTGCTGTAAGCAACTCTGTTGTCACAGTGAATTCACAGGGGACCAGGTCCTGTTCTTCCCCTCCTGCTGCTGGGTAGACTGGTATTTTTACTTTGGAGTCTTCTCCATTATCACTTCATCTTAAAATCTGGCTGCTACCAAAACAGCTCCTTCTGTCATTTGTTTTAACACCCATGTTGGTATGGGAGCCAAGTTCTACTTGAAAATATGGGATAATAATTCAAATCATTGTGGTTATCATCTTTGCATTGTGATTGTCTTCTTGGCTCTAAGAAGAGGCTCCATCACAATTCAGTGCTAATTTTGGAGGTTCTGTCTTGTGACAATGGGGAGCAGTTCCTTTCCTCGTATCATCATCTTAGTTTTGTCAATTTATTAAATGTTAAAACACAACCAGTACGGATCTTATTCTATTGCAGTGTTTCAAGACTACTGTTGGATTCACTAGTTATGAAAAATACAGATTTTTACTCTTGGTTTTCTTGCTTACTAAAAGCAGAATGCATGCATGCATGAACTGAGAATTAGCGTTGGAAGTTTTTGTGGGTTATGAAGCTGTTCACCTCCAGGGACTTCAGTGACATTGTACTAAACTGAAAAACAGAGCTGGAGTGGTTAGTTCTGTCACTAGGGCCCCTGAAATGTACTTAGAACCTTTCTCATAGTATAGTACTCACATTTTTAATTTATGTTGCGCAGGAAGAAAGTTAAAATCTTGCTTCCTTTGTTTTTTCCTCCACCTCTTGTTTCACTGTTGCCATAGAGACAAACGATGGGTACCATGATCAATAACAAACTACCATGGGTACAAGGTATTTCTTTCTATTTTCTTAAAACTATGTGCAACAACATTTTATATGCTGGATCTTCATTTTGAGCCTATTTTTTTCTGTAAACCAGTAGTTTACACCAGTAAAGTACCAGTAGTAGGCTTTAATTTGCACCCCTCTATAAAAGAGGTTTATGAAGTAGTTATTCAGAGTTTACAACTTCATTCTTCTCTTTGATTATTGTTAATGAGAACTTTGGTTCTCATTGTTTCTTTGTCCATTATGTTGAAGAACCATAAAGTATTCGACTCTTACAGAAGGGAAACGAGCATCTTATGTTTCTTATTTTACACCTTTTTCAAACCTGGAATTGTTCTTTTCAATTATCTCTAACTTTAAAATGCTTTCCTGTTCCATCCTGTAATTTTGCTCAATGGTGAGGGAGATGCCATTACCTTAACCCAACTTAGCTTGACCTGGCAGACCATGGACTTTTCTCCACAGCCCAGTGCAGCAGAGTGCAGAGATCCCTCGAGCAGTGTGGCTTCATCAAAACAAATTGCAGCTGGGCAGATTAGCTCTGCCTTCCAAACTGGGCTGATACGATTGTGTTCAGCCACTCTAACATGATTGTATTGCTTTTAGGCTTTATTGCTGTGTTTCTGCACACTGCTGCCTTTGAGGTGTGCAGACCTGCCTGCTTGGTGACCGCTGCATTTCTGAGGCTGTGAGAACTCCTTTGCAACATTCCAGGGTTAAATTCTCAATGTCCATGTTTTGTGACAGTGAGAATGCTCTGCTACAATAGAAAGGCTTCCCAGTTTCTCCATGCCATCATGGCTGAATCCAGCTTTGCACTATTTCCACTTTATGTTCTATTAAAATCATTACAGATGTTCTTTTGGCACCACGGGAGTGACCATGAAATCTAGCCTGCCAAAGGGTGGTGAATCCAAACGCTTCCCAGAATAAAAAAGGTAATTGCTAGTGAGTTGCAAACCTCAGTTTCAAAAAATAATGGTTCTTATTTCCTGTCCTAAGCAGCTGATCCCTTACATGTGCTGACTGCAGGCACCAGTGCCAAATTCCTGCAAATAAATCTCATCACTGGGCACCCTTCTACTTTGCACCAACCCCAAAATGCATTACTGCACTGGCTATTTAAACATGGCAAGGTAAAAAGCATCTCACAGAATTAATTTCCTCTCTTTCATGAGAGGGATATAATGCATTAACTGATTTGAAAACAAGAGTGAGCCTCTTTTCTAACATGGTCACTCACTAGGCAGGCTTTCCACAGGGCACGGGAGCTGAAGTAAACAATCACTTACATAGAAGGAAACTCTCCAGTGCCCTGCCGTGCTGATGCTTGTAGAGAAAGGAAAAAAACAACAAACAACCTACTAACATTTCATTGCATGTTGAAAAGAAAGTGTAAGCATTCTGTTTCAAAAGCTTTAAAGCATAATTGAAATTCAACATGCAGATTTCTGTGTTATTACAATGCTGCATGCACTAGCTCATTTGCTGAGCAGCCAGCATTTTAAACCACACACTGCAAGAACTTTGTGTTGGTACAATAACAATGTAGAAAAATTAGGATGACAGCACCAGTATGCTCATCCCCATAAACATTCCTCAGCTGAAACAGGAACTGCAGGGCAGTGCTAGCCTATGTATTATGAGACTGGAATATTTCTGCTTCCATGTGCAGATGGAGCACAGATCACTAGTGTGCTGACAAGCTGAACTCCAAACAAAGAGATAAGCTACATATGTACTGGCAGGTAAGCTCACTGATCTTTTTAACCCAGTGAACATCTGATGTGATGTGAGATTCGCTAAACTGTAGATTTCAAATCAAGGTCAGACCGAAGGGTGATTTCGTATTTTGTAATATTCTCCCTGCTTCACTGACTGAAAGCAGTTGTGAATTCCAGAATGCTTTTTTCTCTTTTAATCTGATAGTAATTTGAAAAGGAGGCAGGAGGCTGAGCTTGCACTGGAGTTCTCCAGTGTAAACCTTCTTTTTTCTGATTACAGTCCCAGCAAAGAGTTGCATTGGGCTGGGAATGTGTGGCTGGAGCTCTGGGAGATGGATGATGCTGGCAGAGCAGTGCAAAGCCACAGAGCACTGGGAGAATCTGGGTCACTGTGCAATGTGTTCACTGTGCCAAATCATAACAGTAGTGAAACGCTCAGACCACTAACCTAAAAAGGAGCTCCTGCTTGCTAAATTCCCCTCTTAAATATACAGAACAACTTTTATTGACATTGTAAGGTAGTTTTTGGTTTTGTTCTCAGAATAAGTCATGTTAAGTGAAAGTGTGTACAGAGGATCAGCGTGTGAGAAAGGAGTATTTACACACACGGATGTGTATTTACACTCATTGAGGTTTTTACCATTCATGTCATACTGCAGGATTCACTGTCAGTGGGAGCACTGAATGAAAAGCCTGTTCTCCAAATCAGTCCCCCATTTATCTACTAAATCTTTCCATTTCATCCAATCTAAAGAACCATCGGTAAGTAGAAAATATAATCTATACATTGAGGCAAGGAATACATTAGCTCTGTAATAAGGATGTGAAGGAAAACGTGCTCTTGGATTATAGCTGTATTTGCCTATAACTGTAGATCATTTGCAAGGCAGGCTGAGTGAAAATAAAAGATTCCCTGGCAACCCTCCCTGTCTCCAAATGCCTGCTCAGGCAGAAAAAAACAACCACCCTGCATACATATTCCAATGAGCCACTGCGGGGCAGTAACAACAAAAACATTCCTCAGCAAAACAAGGGGCTTTGAACAGCCACTTCGCCTTCTCTGAGCAAAGGACACAAAGAAACTGTTCTTCGAAGAAAAGCCGAACATTAGGATTTCCATTCTTACATTGCAAAATGTTATTAGTCTTTTTGGGAAGCATTTTATAGCTGTGCTTAGCTTCAGCTCCTCCCCCGGAGATGCTGGCAAAGAGCGATTTTGAAGCTGTTACTCAGTTTTAAAGCGGTGAATAGAGGTTGTGTGTGAGATATCCAAGACTCTGTTTAAGACGCTATCTGGATTTTCTGTGTGTGCATAAACTCTTTTCTACCTGAGGGCTAAGTAAATAAGTTCTTTTCAAGTGATTATTCTCTGTGCAGGAATTTTCCCTTGTAAGGTATAGAAACCCCTGAAGATTAGGTATTTTTGTGCTGCTTTTGTTCCTCTCAGGGCAAAATCTTCAGTGAACAGAAGTTATTACCAAAAAATTATTTTATATCTTAAGGGTAAAAGAATAGACTTTGTTCAGTTTTGGATGTAGCTTGGAATCAAAATTACTGAGCTGCTTTGTAACCAACATTTCACATCTAGAGGTTCAAAATTAGATCAATAGTTTTGCCTTCCTTTCCTCTGCCCCTGCCATTCTGTAGATTTAATAATATTAATGGACTATGAAGAAATTCACTGTTCTTTCTTTTTGCATAGTAGCAAAAGTGGGGGGGAAAAGCCTATTTAAAGATCTCTAATTACAATCTGAATTTTCTATAAATACAAAACTTCCTGTAGCAGCCATTCCAAATAGATATTGCCCTTTAGTGCTGCAGAAATTTGTACCAGATTAGTAATGTGTGCTGCAATATAGATTCTGTGAAAAGTCCAAATATCTTACTTCAATAGAAGTGTGAGGAAAAGAAGATCAAGACGTACAGAGAGCTGAATTGCAGCCATGGCTCTTCAGTTACACTTTGAAGATCATTTTCATTTCCATTTTGATCTTAAATCTTAGTCATAAGTAATTAACATTTGGGGATGCATGACAGATGGTATGTGCCACCTTGTCTTTTTGGGCAGTCTTTTCTTGTCTTGGCTTTTCAAGACATATTCCAGACCTAAAATAATTTTTTTTGGGGGGTGGGGGACAAAAAAAATGAGATAAATGAACTTACTTTGGCTTGCAGACGGCAATGTGGAAAAGTTGAAAGTTTCTTCTACTATTCAAACATTCCTCCAAGTTAAATTTAATGTTTTTTATATTTAAAATATTTATCAGATCTGTAGGTTGTCAGATCTAGAATAGCCTCCAATTTTAAAGACAATAAGGTTATGAATGTAATGTAAGAATCACCAGGAACATTATTGAAATTACTTTTCTTCATGTTGCTGGTGAATGTTGCAGCTGATCCTACTCCTACTCTAGGCTACGGAAGGTAAAGTTGTCATCTCATCTTAGTGATGTTCCTTGGATTTACAGCATTCAGGATTCTCATGTTTACCTTTATCTTCACACTTTGCTTTGCTTTTTCATCCAATAGAAACATCATGAAAAATTAAGAAGAAAGCAAGCATTTGGAAGTTGTATTAATTTAACGTTGTCTCAGGGACTAGGCAGCCCCGAGTTTCAATCAGAAAATCTCCAAGTGCACATGACTAAGCCTGCAAGGTGATATTAACCATCATCTTCAAATTTAAGTTTCCTATCATTACTTTTTTAGAGAATTACAGTAACATTCCAGTGTTTATTCTAAAAGTGGATAATGTGCTTATGATGATTAGATCCAAGAATTTTGCCTCAAAAGAAAAAGGTAAAAAGCAGCAGGAAAAAGTTGGGAAGTTCAAAAACAACCATTCACCCCTATTCACCTTGAAGAGTCAGACATAAATTGTGGGAGGAACTTGTAGAGCTGGAGAGAAGGGATCAGGGGTTAGACTCATCTTGGAACTGTCTTAAAGCTCTATTTTAATCTCATTGTTTATCTTCTCCTGACCAGCTTGTATGAGAAAATACAGGAATGAAATAAGAAAAGACCATCAGATTTCAGAATCTTGCTTGCTAGTTATTGGTTTGCCTTCACACACTCTGGAAACAAATGTGTGCTGGCAACACTGATTAAATGCAGCAGGTATAAAGTGTAACTGGCAGTTAAAACCTTGTTGAACACTGCAATGATACTGCATTTCTTGACTTGGAAGGTTGTTCATCCAGCCTGCTCAGCCAGGGTGTTCATCCGGCCCGTTTACCATTTATGAGACATTGTGTTAGCATTGAATTAGCTTATAGATTGTTTTAATATGACTTGGAGCAGTAGGGTGTATAATTGTTTGAATGTTTCTTTCCACTGACTGCACAGCATTACTTCTTTCTGCACCTGAGAAGGCTTTTTCCTCCACCTGAACACTTAACAAGCAAATTTCCAGATATTCAGAAGCAAATGCAAACAATTTAGAACAAATCTTGTTCCTGCGATTAGGGCCTCAAATGAAACCCTACCAAACAGAGCCAATAGAGCTGAGCTTTTATTTATTTTATTTTTTTTTTGGCAACATTTTCTCTTCTTTTCTATGTTGTTGTGTTTTTGTTTTTTTTTTTATTTGCTTCAGGAAGGCATTGCAGCGTGACACCCTTCCTTATCTTAATTCCTGGTTTTTGAAGAGAAAAATAGCTTTAAAGCCTCAGTACAGTAAAGTCTGTTCATACAAAGCATGTGAAGACTCAGTGGAATGCGTAGCTTTTTGTACCATTTAATGTTTGTAGCTTTTTGTGCCATTTAACATTTGTCAGGCTGCCATTTCTTTTCTGCCACAGGTTTTGGGTGCTGTGTCATATTGTTGATGTTATGAGTTAAGTTTCCTGTTAATCCCTAGGTGGACTTTAGCAGTGAAACCCAGGCTTGGGAATCCCTATGAAACTGCTTTGAATTGCCTACACATATACAGTGCACAGAGTAATCCCATCAATCATAGTGGTGTCTGTTAAATACCATTATGTGACTTAATTAATGTCTGCCTAGCATTTTCAGATTCATAAGCAGTCAAAAACATTACCATGATGTTCTTAACAGCTGCTAAATTTCTTTTATAAGCCAGAAATAAAACACAGAGTAAAGGTGGTCAGACGGGTTGGCAATTAATTGGAAAATCACCAAAGAGTACATGGTGAGGGAAGCAATTACTATAAAATGCAGAAATGAGAAAATGCAGCCATTAGGGATATCTGGTATTAAACCTTCAAAGGAATGTAAATATTTAATTTTTTTTAATAAAAATTATTTTTGTATAATGCATTAGCTTGCAATGAATGTGGCACATATTGCATGTAAAAGTACTCCTTGGTCAGCAAGGGAGGCAGCACAATGCCAAACATTAAACCTTGTGTGAAAAACACATTTATACTGGGCTGACTGATGAGATGACAGCATGTTTATGTTGTTCTAAGTATAAAACACCGTATGCTTGTATTTAGAGGCTCTTTTAGAAAGTCATTCCATTTAACAGCTTTGAGTTTGGGTCAGCTAAATGGACGTGCCACAAATGGACTGGATGAGTGACATTACAAGACCAAGTAAAGTAATTAGCAATAATGACAATTACAGACAATTTTTATTTAAAGCTTGTGATATGCTGAGACTTGCAATACTCTTGGATGAGGCCTAACGTGATAGTTCTTTTATACATAGGTAGATGAAGAAGGTTGAAGTGACCTGATCAAGGGCTCCATATATGATCCTTACAGAATCACAGATGCACAGAATGGTTTGGGTTGGACAGAACCTACAAGACCATCTAAGTCCAACCCTCTGCCATGGGCAGGGACACCTTCCACTGTCCCAGGTTGCTCAGAGCTCCATCCAGTCTGCCCTTGGGCACTTCCAGGGATTCAGGGGCAGACACAGTTTCTCTGGGCACCTGTGCCAGGGCCTTATCACCTTACTATGAATAATTTTTTTGCTAATATCCAATCTAAATCTTCTCTCAGTCATTTTGAAGTCATTCCCTCTTGTTCTGGCACTCCATGCCCTTATAAAAAGTCTCTCTGTATAAACTTGGGTCATACTCCCATGTATGAGACATGATAAAAGCATACAAACCAAACAAATGCTATTACAAATTAAAGGAATCTCACTTCTCATTCCAAATTTAGGAGAAAAAACTGTGTCAGATTAAAAAAAAAACATGAGGTGAGTCCCTCATGCTGGAGTTGTGTGATCATTGATAATACACAAGGGTGAAATGTCAGCAGTGGTGACAAATGTCCCAAATGCCACAGTAACTGCCACCCTTTGGCAGCACTTTGGAATGAGGAGCCCAGGAAGATGGCCATTAAAAAGTGCTGGCTATGCAAGTCAAACTTTTAGTTTAGTTTTAGTTTAGTACAATTTGCTAAGAAATATATCTCATACACAGAGCACTGAATTAGTCAGTAATGCTGTGGAAGAGAATGCTGCTCTCAAACAATAACAGTACCTCACTTTGGTAAGACACATTTTTCCCTCTGAAGAACTTGCACACAAAGCAGGAGGGGAGCAGGACAGGAAACAGGCTGAAGGTGACCTGCTTGGGCCCCACATGGGAGAACAAGAGCAACACAGACTCAGGTTCCCCTGCTCCAGCTTGTACATCAAACACTGTGCCGTGTTCTGAGCCAGCACAGCCCTGGGAGCTTTGTTGCTGTGAGAATACTACACAGTTACAGGGAAGTGCCCAGCAGCATTTGGGATCCATTGTGTCTGGTACTTGCCACTGAAAAACTGCCCAGGAGAGTTCTTTTGCTTTTTCAGAAACCTATCATTGACACAAGGGAATTGATATCAAAAGAGCTAGAAAATGATTTATTGGAAAATGTTGTTCTTGTCAAGCGAACTCGGCAGCTGAATGTAGAAACAGCTACACTTTTATTAGACTAAGGTAAAATAAGAGGTGTGCACAGTTCTGGAGTCCCTCTAAGGTCCCTTCATCAGTTATCATCTTCCATTCTTGTGAAAGGAGCACTGAGATCTCCAAATCGTGTACCAGCCAAAGTTTCTCTTTCCCCCAATCTAATAAAGGTCTCTTTATAGCAAAAATGCTGCTGTCTCTCTCACTCTCTGTGAAAAAAACTCTGCTACAACTCCATTATGGAAAAGGATCTTAAAAGCAATAGCACTTAGGAGAGCTGTTTGCTTCTGCCAGTTGATTTTGTGAAGGAGAGGTTTACAGATGTGTGTCTGTAGGTACAAATTAAAAGCAAAACCTGCCATTGCATCAAAAGCTGGATTTCTATTTGATTCCTTAAAATGCGCTGTATGTTAAACATAGTTATGAAAAATAATGTAAATGACAGGACAGCAAAGACAGTCTTTTCTAAATAAAGAAGCCAAATTTCAGAGAAAAAGAGAGAGATGCTCAAGAATGATTTAAACACACTTGAGATCCTCTTAGTAAGAGGAGGAGGAGGTAGTGCTAGAACATAAGCAGGAGCATGCAAGCAGCATGGAGAGAATGAAAATGTAGAGTAAGGGCAAATGGGACCAGTAAGACAGGTAGTAAATGAATGGAGCAGGAACTGGGATACAAGGACTAGGATACAGATGTGGAAGACAAGACAGATAGCAAGGCACAATAAGTACAGCAAGGAGCAAAAAATAATAATTCGGTTGTAGCATCTTCCAGTAAAGAAAAATCTAGGGTTACACTGCCAAGGGACACATTTTGCAAAGAATGGTACTTAAAATTCTGCTCACACAGGTAGCTGTGTGATCAGCTTTGCTCTCACTGTAAGGCTGCATGGGCTAATACTTTAAAAAATACATCACTATACTAAATGCTACTGCATTTTAATGCTGATACGTGATGTAAAACTGGCTGAAAACTCACAGCTTGTTAGTGCTTTGAAATAACAGTAAAATTTTGTCACAAACCGCTAACTTCCTCTCTGGCTTTGTGCGTGACAGTGCGTCTGCAGCGGAGCGCTGCGCACGGAATTGGAACGGGAGCACTCGGCTGTTTGGTGTCACTTGAGACCTGGATCTCATCTGTGTGGGAACGAGGCGGTGGCTGTGGCAGAGAGACAGGCTGTGTGCTGGAAAACAAAGAGAGAATTCTGGCTGGCTGGGCTGGTGTGAAGAATCGCTGCCGTGGGGCTGAGCTGAAGGTGTGCGAGGAGAAGGAAACAGGAGCAGAGCGAGAAGCCAGCTGTGAACAGCACCGCTCGCTTCTGCTACTGAGCGAGCTCTTCTAGAAAATGTCAAAGAACATCCTCATCATCTAAAGCCATTTTTAAAATGATTGCTAATATGGCTCAATTATGTTTTCTTTCCCTGCACCCATGTGTTTAAATGTGAAAGAAAATGGTGAGAGTGACTGCTAAAGATGCTTGATAGTGCATATTTGCTTGGAAGTATATTTTCATATCAAGCAAATGTCAGTGCAAACACCTGCAATTTGCATTGCTTCTAACTGTAAGAAACAAACGTAAGTTGGTTCACCACCACCACAACTCTGAATAAAGCTCCTGCTGCTCTGTGGCTGGTACTAGGTGTATTTTTGCACTTCAAAATGTGAAGGAAAGCACGATGATTATTAACATCATTACTCCTTGTTCCTCCCAAAAATGAAGTAAATACTAATTTATGGTCTTCATGAAAAACAAATTGAATTACAATGGATTTTGAAGGGAATGTTCTGTCAAAATTTACTCTCTTTACAAGTAATTTGGTTAACACTTAATTTCAAAGTAAGAGCAGAAACAAATTAAAACATGATGCTGTAAGACACTGAAATCAATTTAAAAATTATTCCAGGTACCACAACTTTATACTTTTTTTTTTTTCTCTCTCTTTATATATGAGAACCTAAGATCAGTTGTGTTCATCAGCAGAGGAGGAGAAGGGGCTGTGCTGAGCTTAGACCAGAAGCCCATTAAATCTGTATTCATTCCCTCCTCTGTTGGCTGACACATTTGTGTAGAAAACAAAATCCTCACATTCCTTTGCTCTGTGCCCAAGAAATGTGGAAAAGACACGAGTTGCCCAAACTTTGCTCTGTCCTTTGAGCCTGCAGTGAGCAACTGGAGAGCCTCCACAGAGCTATGGATTTGTCTCCCAGTAATTTCATGTCACAGTTTGTCCCTGTAAATGAAAAACCAAATGGTATTTCTGAGCAGATGACAGGTCTGGTCCTTCAGGCTTTCTGGGTCTGAAGAAAAATCTACTCATGTCAATGAAAATCTGCAAAGTGGTTTCTGTGGGGAAGTGGCTGGGAAAACAGCCTGTGGGGCTCTCGCAGATGTTACGCTCAACATTTGTACACAAGGTAGGAAAAAATTAGCAGTCAAAAACTGAAAGTTACAACATTTGGCTTGGATGTATTTGTTATCAATTTCAACCATTTTCTTTTGCTTTCTTTTTAATTTTCACCTAACAAGGAATAACACAAAATGCTTAAAATGTGATTAATTCTAAAAGAAAAAGAAAAAGGGATATATTTATTATTGCATTTATTTGACATGTTGTTACTGCCAGTCTATTATGTTGCAGGAACTGGAAAATAATTGAAGAACTATGTGTGTGTAGGTGTAATTTATAAACTTCTGATATTAATCAGTACCATTTTTTGTTCCTGCTCTTGTTCAAACACTTACATAGGATTCCACCCTTGTGGAAAGCATGGAATAATTTACATCAGCCCAGCAGGGTGTCCTGCACAGTCCTGGTTTTTGATATAAAGAGTTACACCCTTGAAAGGGGAATATAAAACTGCTAACTTGGAAATAACCCTTAAATGATTTGAGGACATTTTTATTCAAGTTTAGCATCTGGACACGTGCACTGCTTAGGCCACAGTTTGGCCCACCTTGTTGCCTGACTTTATTTAAAATCATGTATATTCCCTCATTCTATGGAAAACTGTATTGTATCCTGTCACCTCAGAAAAAAAATCATTTCAGTCCCAGTTTAAACAGATTATCTACTCATTGGAAATAATGTTTCTATTTTACTTTTTATATAGTGTTGGAAATGTTTTTCATTAGCTTGCATAGTCAGTCTTCTGAATCCAGACTTCTATATAGTTATAATAAAAAAATGAGTATTATGCTAAGTAGGAGACAGTAATATTCAACTGTGCGTTACAAATCACAAGCTCCTTGTAATTAGTAAGAAATTCCTGATTAATTGCAACAAGCTATAAAAAAGAAAATATAAGTAACATTGTAACTGAGTTTTTAACTTGTCAGTGTTATGGGATTAGTTTAAAAATCAGATTTTTTTTTTGGTAAATTCTTTATTTTTCTAGCAGTTCATAAGTAAAAGTTAAGAGAGTTTAATTCAGAGAAAAATATTCTAATGAGGAATCATGATATTCTAGTCAGTGATGTATGAAGAAATTAAAACAATACATTTAAGGGATTAGTAACTGGCAAGTCAGAGGGAAATTGTCATCCAACTGAAAACCTTCTGATAGGATCCTAATGTAATTGGTTCTTTGTCCTTCACTGCTTGACACATTATCAATGAGCTTGAAGAAAACATGAAATCATCCAAGATAATTACTGTGGATTACACCAGGCAGATAATGAAGAGGCCGGGTCGCTGATCCAGACAGATGTGGTGAAGTCAGACAGGTGAGATTATTCAACATCATGAGCAGGACTATGGAGGGTAAAAGAAAGAGTGTGATGGTGAAAAATGAAGTGTATGTAGTGGTGGGAGAGCTCAGGCAACTGCAACATGAGAATTAAGTTTAATCCCTCTGTATGTTCTGTGTGTGTATCAAACTGTACATTGAATATGTAATTAAGGAGTTTTTATATGGACCCTCCATTGTCCATGAGTTCATTGCTTCCAGAAGCTGTGAATGTGAACCACAATCCTGTGTAGATGTCAATGGTCATATACCTAAATTAATCATATTCTTATGAATAATCATATTCTTGCTATAAATACTAATTTTTATACTTATTCTTTGTCACTCTCATACAAAATTGATGTACTACTTGTTATTCCTGCATTATGCTCTCCTGACTTCTAATCTATTTATTTCAAACAAAGAAACAAGTATGTAAGTTGAGGTTCACAAATGTATCACAAAATGTTCTTTCCCTTTGGTAAGATTTTGGTAACTGAATAGTCAAGTTAGAAGAATAATACAGTTGTTTTTCTGGAACAGTCTTTCTGCTGCACATCTCTGTAGGATAGAACTCATTAAAATGTTACATTCCTTTTTGTTTTCCATCACTGTCCCCTTTGTAGCAGAGTGAACCCTCTCTGCATGTGAATTGTAAATCTTTATATATATATATATATATATATATACACAATGCCATGTGGTATTGTATAAATCTTTAGAGGTAGATAAAGGAATAGTATTAATATTGATTCTTGTGGCACTCCTGTACTTGCTGCACTCCTTCAAAACTATTCCCACTTGCAAGTCTCCTTTGATTTGAAATCTGCTTTCATTAATCTACTCCAGTAACTCAGATATTTTTAGGTAACTTTGTAGATTTGCTCTTTATTATGGGCTGCCTCTAAAGCTCTGCAAAAGTGTAGATAAACTGTGTTACTTCTCCAGCATCTTTCTTAGAAAGTGTCCCTTTTTCCTTAGGATTCCAAAATGTCTTTGTTAATATCCTTTATTAATGACTGAGGCAGCTGAAGGGTTTGAGAGGAGAGTTTATTGTGTTTTAATAACCTTACAGACACTGTAAAGGTAGGGAAACCACAGGGAAGCTCGGGGAAGAGCTTTGTTTGGGGAGCTGGACTTCAGCTGGGATAATTCTCCTGCTCAGAGGTTGGTTTGTGTGAAGACAGGGATTACCTGTTAACTGAGCAAGTGTCTGCATGAAAGGAACCTGCCTGGGAACCACAGAATTTAAATGCTCCTCTGTTCCTTGTTTTGATACTTGGACTTTATTAGTCACCAACTCCTCTACTGATAAGACAGAAAAATGAGCCCATTCCATAATGGATGTTTTGTGCTTTCCTTTATTTATAAACTCTTTTGGTACCCAGATATCCTCTACAAGCCTTTATTTTACAACTGACCTGCTCTTGTCTTACCAGAACAGCCGTGTTTTGAAATGGCCATCATAGATTCACACCTTTTCTGCCTAATGAATTAATTGATTTGCATCTCTAATGATATTTTAGCAGGATACACACCTCTGCTACTTGATGTCATTCTTATTCCTTGTTGTAGAAAATTATTTAACAGAAAATACTGTAGAAAAACTAATTCTGAAAGTATTTGTAAGCAGTAGAATGGCTGGTCAGCTGCAGTTGGTACTGTATAATTTGAAAATAGCATTTCTGTTTAAAATTTCAGGCTGCTCTGCATCCTCAGTGATTACTTGGGCTCAATCCTGATTTGAGATATTATCAGTGGTGAGTGAGTCATGCTTTCCTCTTTCCCCTGGCTTGTGATGACGAGTGTGTTAAAGATCCTTTGCAGGACAAATTATAATGCTTGGAATTTGTTTTCCTGTCCAGTTATGTAATTTATATTAGTTTTCTGATTGATCAAGTGTCTGCTCTTAAAAGTATGCTAAGAGTTTCCTTATGCTCCTTTTGAACCCTACCAGAGCTCCAAGTTAAAATCCTACTGATGGAACCTGATACAGCATTAAACTGAAACAGATGTTGGTGTGAGAGCCAGGGAAACAGGGAACAGTCCCTGTTCCATGTTCCCTTTTTGTTGGACTGTTTCTCCTGGAAGAACCTCGGAGCTTTGTGGCTTCCTTGTTTCCAGGCTTAGCTCTGGTCCAGTCTCCAGCAGGAAGGTGGGATTTGTGACTGGCCTGAGCCCAGTCCTGCCTCTGACCCTGCCTTGTCTGATATCTGGGGAAGGTTTCCCCTCTTCCAGCTGTGTCCTGTTTCATCCTGTGGGACTGTGTCCCCTGTTTTGTGAGGCTGCACTTGCCTGGTTTATCTCTGCAATTGGAGAAGCCCATCTTCTTGCCCTTCAAACTGAAGAAGAATAGGTTAAGTTAGATATTACGAATAAATCCTTCCCTGTGAGGGTGGGGAGGCTCTGGCACAAGTTCCCAGAGAAGCTGTGACTACCCCTGGATCACTGGAAGTGTCCAAGGCCAGGCTGGACAGGGCTTGGAGCCACCTGAGATAGTGGAAGGTGTCTCTGCCATGATGGGGAGTTGGAACCAGACAGCCTTGAGGGTCCTTTCCAACCCAGGCTGTTCTCTCATTCCCTGCTGATCTATTTATAGCATCGTGTTTGCAATCTCTTGAAATGTTTTTTTCAAAAATATTGTGAAGGTTCTACCACCATTCAAAAGCTTGTGTTGTACAGTTTGCACAAAGGAACTTTGTGTAAAAAAAAAAAGAATAAAAAAATCCACTTTTTGTTTGAAGGAGAAAAATTTCCTGCCAGTGGAGTTCCCACATCAGCAATACTGCAGAGATGTAACGGGCAAAGCACATGAAATCTGATTAAGGAATGTTTCCCTTAAAGGTAATCTTACAAGCATAAGCAAAATTGACAGTTGCCATCTGTAATCTGGAACTTCTCTAGATTTCATTTGATTTCTCAAAACCTGTGAATTTTGAATAAAGAGGAAAACCTCTGTGGTTCACATAATATGTTTAGAGACATGAAATGCCTAGACAAAAAAGTCAAGAAAGGAGAAGGGAAGAAAATCAATCATAATGGTATTTCTCCATGCAAGACTACCAAGACATGGTGAAAAAATCTACCATGGGATGAGAATCTTCTCTCTATCCCTTTTGGACTGTATTTAGGATAAAGAATT